TAAGGGGTTGGCCTCTCGGGCTGGTGACTGGATGATGGTCGGGTTTTCTGTGTTGGTGACTGTGGAAGATAGGTGAGCTTTTTGGGCTGGCAACTATGGATGATAGGTAGGCTTACCAGCCTAGTGACTGGATGATGATGAGCTTTCTCAGCTAATGATTTCAGATGATGCCTTCCTGAGATAGTGACTAGAAGATTGTTGGGCTTCCTGAGTTGGTGACTGTAGATGATGAGTGGGTTTCGTAGGCTGCTGACTGTGGATGATGGGTGGGCATCCTGGGCTGGAGACTGTAGATAATGGGTGGGCTTTTAGAGCTGGTGACTGTGGATGATGGGTAGGTTTTCTGGGCTGGTTACTGTAGATGATGGGAAGGCTTTCCAGGCTGGAGACTGGATGATGGGTGGGCATCTTGGGCTGGTAACTGTGAATGATCGGCGGGCTTCATAGGCTGGTGACTGTGGATGATATGTGGGCCTCCTGGGCTGGTGACTGGATTATTGGTGGGCTTCCCAGGCTGGTGAATGTAGTTGATGGGTGGGCTTCCCGGGCTGGTGACTGTGGATACTGGTTGTACTTCAGGTGCTGGTCACTGTAGACAATGGTTGGGATTCCTGGGCTGGAGACGTTAGATCATGGGTGGTCTTCCTTGACTGGTGCATGTGAATGATTGGTGGGCTTCATGGACTGGCGACTGTAGATGACGGTGGGCTTCCCAGGTTGGTGACTGCAGATAATAGGTGGGCTTCATAGTCAGGTGACTGTGGATGATGGGTGGGTTCCTTAGCTGGAGACTGTAGATGATGCAGGTGCTTCATAGGCTGGTGACTAAAGATATTGGGTGGGCTTAGTGGGCTGGTGACTGTGAGTGATGGGTGGATTTCCTTGGCTGGTGACTGTAGATAATCTGTGGGCTTCCCAGGCTGGTAAATGTGAGTGATCGGTAGGCTTCCTAAGCTGGTGACTGTAGATGATGGGTGGGCTTCCCGAGCTGTTGACTGTAGATGATGAATGGGCTTTTCAGGCTGGTGATTGTGTATGATGGATGGGCTTTCTAGGTTGGAGACTGTAGGTGATGGGTACACTTCACAGGCTGTTATTGTAGATGATGGATGGGCTCCTTGGGCTGGTGACTGTGGATGATAGGTGGGCTTTTTGGCCTGGCAACTGTGGATTATGGTTGAGTTTCTTGAGCTAGTGACTGTGGATGATGGGTGTGCTTCCTAGTCTGGCGACCATAGATGATGAGTGTGCTTCCCAGGCTGTAGATGATGGGTGAACTTCTTAGGCTTGTGACTGTGGATAATGTGTGGACTTCCTGGGCTGGTGACTGCAGAAGATGGGTTGGCTTTCCGGGTTGGCGCCTGTGGATGATGGATGGGCTTTCTGGGCTGGTGCCTGTGGATTATTGGTGGGCTTTTCAGGCTGGTAACTGTAGATAATGGGTGGTCTTCCCAGGTTAATGACTTTGTATGATGGGCGGGCTTCCCAGCCTACTGACTGTGGATGATTGGTGGGCTTTCTGGGCTGGTGACTGTGGATGATAATGGGTTTTGTGTGGTGGATGCTGCAGGTCATGGAATTCTGCTTTTACATCTGGGCTGGACATTGTCCATTCAGCTTCTCACTCCCTTAAGTGTTGCATTGAGGCCTGGGAGCTTCTCTACCCTCAGGGATGTGCAGGGTGGCCCAGTGTCTCATTGCTTTGGCTCTGATGTCCACCTGCCTTACTTACTAACTGACTTCGTTGAGTTGGAGACTTGTCTTGCCTAGAATAAAAATAACTATCAACCATTTTCCAGGTACCTCACCTGGAAGCTCTAGTGTGCAGTTTTCTGTTTCATCTTGGCAATTGTGGAAGGGACCCTCATACCCCTCCATCATACCCCTCGATCACACCCCTCCATCACACTCCTCCGTCACACCCCTCCATGACTCCATCACACCCCTCCATCACACCCCTCCATCATACCCTTCCATCACACCCCTCCATGACTCCCCTCCATCATAACCCTCCACATTCCTCCATCACACCCCTCCATCACACCTCTCCATCATACCTCTCCATCACATCCTGCCATACCCCTCCATACCCCTCCATCACACTCCTCCATCACACTCCTTATCACACCCCTCCATCGCACCCCTAGATCACACCCCTCCATCACACCCCTCCATCACACCTATCACATCCCTCCATGACTCCATCACACCCCTCCATCACACCCCTCCATCACACCTCTCCATCATACCTTTCCATCACACCCTGCCACATCCCTCCACACCCCTCCATCACACTCCTCCATCAGCGCCCTCCATCACACCCCTCCTTTACACCCCTCCATGACTCCCCTCCATTACACCCCTCAATCACAACCCTCCACATTCCTCCATCACACCCCTCCCTCACACCCTGCCCCACCCCTCCATCACACCCCTCCATCACACCCCTCCATAACACCCTTCTACAACCCTCCATCACACCCCTCCACACCCCTCGATTCACACCCCTCCACACCCCTCCATCACACCCCTCCATCACACCCATCACACCCCTCCATATCCCTCCATCACACCCCTCCACACCCCTCCATCACACCCCTCCACATCCCTCCATCACATCCCTCCACACCCCTCTATCACATCCCTCCATCACACCCCTTCATTACACCCTTCCACACCCCTCCATACCCCTCCATCACACCCCTCCACACCCCTCTATCACATCCCTCCATCACACCCCTCCATTATACCCTTCCACACCCCTCCATCACACCCCTCCATCACACCCCTTCACACCCCTCTATCACACCCCTCCATCACACCTACATCCCACCCCTCCACACCCTCCATCACATCCTTCCGTGGCACCCCTCCTTCACACCCCTTTACATGTGGAGAGAAGGAGACAGGCCTGGCGTGCTATAAACTCAGAAACATATTTGCTGTGCTTTCATATGATGACTATTGTTCTTCTGTGGTCCTTGCCCCATCTGTGTAGGACTTGGTTGTGCACTCATGCACGTGGTTTCCAAGATGATGCAGACTTGACACCTGCATCTTGCTCTTCTCACCTCGCCTGTGAGGAAGTGGCACTAACTAGCAGGAACCTGCAATCACAGGACATACCCACATGCTCACCAGTGCAAAGGTAGGAAGGAGAGGTGTTCCTTGCCTGCCCCTGCTGGTGCCCTCTAGGGTCTGAACTCTTTTGAGGTTGGAAGCCCCAGGGTTCAACCTCACCAGGAGCAAAGCTCGTAAATACAGCATCAGCTCCCAGTCCTGGAATCAGTCGTGGGCCGGGGGCTGGCAAAAAGAGCAGAGTGTATATAGGCAGCTCCCTCAGGGCCACCCTTCCTGACTCTGGAGGCTGGCAGGCAGGGGCAACGCCTCCTCCAAACAGCCCCAGGTGCAGTCTGAGCACCTCCTGAGCGCTGTAAGAGACTTGGCTTTCTAGGTGCTATAGGAAATGTCACTGTAGACTTCAGAGTAACACTGTCTTTCATTTTATCACTTCCTTGGTATGAACATCGTGATTTCATTGCAGAGTATTTGGAAGTGGAGGAGAAATGCCCATGACTGCATAACCCTGACAGTCCTTATTCCATTTGTGAGCTGGGCCCTGGGTGGCTCGGAATAGTCCTTATTCCATTTGTGAGCTGGGCCCTGGGTGGTTCGGAATAGTCCTTGCTTCTTCTGTGAGCTGTGGCCCAGCTGGTTCCTGCATTTCCGTTTTCTCACAGAGCAGGCAGCCTGGCTCTGTATTCCAGCTTAGCCAGATACTGAGGCCTTTCCAGTTTTCTTGGTAGGGATGGTTCCTTCTCCCAGTGTCCTGCTGATGAAAGGAAGAGGAATCCCAGGAGGGAACTGAAGGGATGCAGGAAGGGTCTGTGTGCCACAGGGGATGTGCGTGCTTCTGGAGCTGAGGCTGGGGTGGCAGAGCGAGGGGTGAACCTGGCTCACTCCCACTACCGGCCTGGGTGCTGCAGTCTCTGGGGGCTGAGTGACCTCCAGGGTGGCCATCAGTCTTCAGGGCCTCCCAACAGCAGGGTGTGGTGGCTTTAGGCCTGAGGACAGGCAGTTAGGTAAGAAGTGGAGGAGGAGGAGGAGGGCCCAGGAGAGGGATTGAATCCAGAGGGAAGCTGCTAGCCTGGAATCCGAAAGCCTGGGTTGCTCTCCGGCCCTCCAGCACTTCATCAAGTATGGATGCTTTTCAAAATATAACGGATACTTGTCAATAACAACAACAAAAATAGTCAACTTTTCCCCTTTGGTTTTATTAATCTGAGGCCATATTTAGGCAAATCCAATCTACTCCTGTGTCTAAACTTGTCTCTAATTTACATGTGTGTTGTATGTGCATGTTAATTTTTTTCTTTCACTTTAATAAAAAGTATGAGCTAAAAATGTATTTTTTCCCTAAAGAGTCATGGGAAGAATCAATTTATCACATATAATTTTAGTGATAGAATTTCTAATAAAATAGGATTTTTCTTGAATTTTTACTAAGTAAAAACTTGAATAATTAGCTACTGAAACGTATAGAGTTACATCTTCAAGAAAGAACATTATAGTGTGCCTTATGTGCTGGGAAATTGTCCATATTGCTTGAAGAAGTGAAAAGAAGGGATACGAAGTTGAGATAAAAAGTGATTTCCATGCCAAAGTGGATCATAGTTCATTCTTCATTAACTGCTTACTAATTTATTGCAAAACAGGGTAATTAATTCAGTGTTGAAAATATAATTCCTTATAAACTAAAAGAAAATATTTGTTTAAGGAATACATAATCAATAAGTACACACACACCCCTACACACACATACGTAATTTTCCTTCTTTCTGTTATAGAACATTTAAAAAACTGTTTAAAAAGTAGAATAAAATGATGAACCTCTCGGATTCACGCATTTTCAATAGTTTGCCAATCTTGTGCCAACTATTCGCCTGCTGTTTTTTTCTAAAATACGTCAAATCCCAAACATCTTGTTATTTGACTTACAGATGACTTCATCTGCATCTTTCGCGGATCGGGCCTTTTCCCCACGTAACCACGACACATACGACTGCCCTTCACTCCTAACTAAACTAAGAAGACTTCCTTTACCTCTATAGCATCAAATACAAGTTCATATCCAAGTTCCCCTAATTATCCAGAGATGTATTTTTACAGTTGGTTTGTTTGAATCAAGAGCCAAACAAGTTCTCATTTCCTTCAATGGAGCCTGTTTCAGCCTCTTTCCTCCCTTCTGTGCCCCCACTGGCTGGTTGCAGTGTCTGGGTCATTGGCTGCCGTGCCCCCCACCCTGGATTTGCCGTGTCCTTGTGGTGGTGTTTAACATGCTTCTCTACCCTTGAATTTCCTGTCAATTGCAGTTAAGACAAGGGGACTGCAAGCTTCACAGGTGTGCAGTCTCATGGGGCCCAGCATTTAGAAGGGCTCTGTGCTGGGCTTAATGCTCGGTCAGGTCTGCCTTGTATCTTGATAACTTTACCTTTGAACTTGTGTTTTGGAAGGACTGCACAGCAGGGGCAGGAGCACAGGAGATTTGCACGATATGCATGTCTGCCACTCCTTGCCTGTCCATTCACACGTGGCATTGGTGACACCGTGAGTGCAGAATTCCAGTGACCCCAGGATGCACGGGAGACCAGCAAGACTCGAGGCCAGGAACAGGTCATTGTGTGTGTCTGCCACTGAGTCTGTGGGAAAGCCACGCTTTCCACGTGAGGTCCACTTCAAACACAGAAAGAAGGCAGTGGCCTTGTGAATAACACCAACAACCAAGGACCCTATTGTACTTTTTCTTACTCATTCTACTTTCCTGTATTAGCCAAGCACTTACAGTGAAAACAATGCATGGACGGAAAGGGGGAAGACAGGAAAAGCCACAGTTACTTCTTTCAGTTCTTCCATATTCACCAGTAAGCTGAAGGCAGTGTGAAGAAGGCAGTAGCACGGCCAGTATCAAGAAGTGAAATCAAAATCCTTGATTTAGTTTTGCACAGCATTTCCACTGTTTGGATAAAAATCAAATATACATACATGTTTGAGCTACAAAATAGGAATCGTGTAATCTCTGTGTTTCTGCATGGGGACCTAATGCTCTTATATTTGTATTTAAAACTGACATTGCACAATATAAAATGAACAGTAAAATTCAGCTAAAAAATGAAAATTGAAATTTTCTTTATTTAGGATGACCTTAAGTAGCAAATAACCATGGTAAATCATTAGAGGGAACAGAGGAAAATGAAAAAAAAATTTTAACACCGTTAAGAGCAGTTTTCCCTGTTTTGTGAACAAGGGACTGTGTGTTTTCATTTTGCAATTTCTCCCCCCACCTATCACAAATGAAGTTGCTGGCCTGGCTCCAGAACCTATGAGTGTGGAGTAAAGCCCCACCTGTACCTGCACCTGCACCTGCAGAGCTCGGGCTCCCCTCCTCACTCATATGCTCTGCGGTCACTGCCCTCTTCGTCTCTAGGTCCGTCCCAGCAGACCAGGAGCACAGATGGGTCAACCTACTCAGTTCTCCACTGGGCTCCCTGTTCTCAGTATGGTCTGTGCATGGAGAAGACTCCTAAGTGCCTTGGAATAGGAGAGTGAGCTGGGGCAGAGGCCTGGCAGGCATCCTGGAGAGGGAGGATGTGATGTGGACTGGGTCAGTGATGGATGGTGGGGATAAGGGAGAGAGGGTGAAGGCAAGATTCTTCTCTACAGGGCACTGAAAGCCAGTGTCCAGTGTCGGGCTAAGATGGATGTAGGGGTGAAGGAGAGGCAGAGAAACTGGGTTCTGGGTTTATAGTTTGGGCGACTGGGTGAATGGGGTGTCTTTACCCTAGCTGCTTCCTAGAGAGAAGGGGTCAGGGTTGTGGGAGGAGACTTCATGTTCCACTTGGGACCGGCTAAATTTGAGGTGCCTCAGGATCATGCCTGTAGCCATATTCATCACGGAAGAGGGCTCCTGATTCGGGAGTTGGTGGCTCATATACTTCAGCCACAAAAAAGATGTGACATTATCAAAAGAGAGCTATGGTGGGAGAAGAGGCGAGGGTCAAGGAGAGAATGTTGGTGAGGGAGAAAAGGGGACTCCATAGAGAAGGTGAGAAGGGACAGCCACAGAGTCTGAGGAATGCAGGAGCGGGCATGGCAGTAGAAGCTGGGATGGGGGTTGTTGACAGAGCAAGAAGGCAGAGAACAAGAGGGCCAAGTCCTGAAATGGCCCACTGGGACAAGGAAGAGGACCCAGGCAGGAGAGCTGTGGAGGAGGCAGAGGAAACAGATCTTACTGACAGATCTAGTGTTGGGACTGATGAGAGGGAGATCCAGAGGAGGTGGCAGGAAACTTGCAAGGCTCTCATCTTGGGGAAGAGGTGGAAGCAGAGGACGGGAGGCAGGAGAAGGAATGAGGCTGGGATGGAACTGAGGAAGGGAGGCGGGGAGAAGGAATGAGGCTGGGATGATGGAGCTGAGGACAGGAGGCAGGAAGAAGGAATGAGGATGGGATGGAGCTGAGGAAGGGAGGCAGGGAGAAGGAATGAGCCTGGGATGGAGCTGAGGAAGGGAGGCAGGGAGAAGGAATGAGGCTGGGATGGAGCTGAGAAAGGGAGGCAGGGAGAAGGAATGAGGCTGGGATGATGGAGCTTAGGACGGGAGGCAGGGAGAAGGAATGAGGCTGGCATGGAGCTGAGGAAGGGAGGCGGGGAGAAGGAATGAGGCTGGGATGATGGAGCTGAGGACAGGAGGCAGGGAGAGGAAGTGAGGCTGGGACGGTGGAGCTGAAGATGGGAGGCAGGAAGAGGAAGTGAGGCTGGGATGGTGGAGCTGAGGAAAGGAGGCAGGGAGAAGGAATGAGGATGGGATGATGGAGCTGAGGATGGGAGGCAGGGAGAATGAATGAGGCTGGAATGGAGCTGAGGACAGGAGGCAGGGAGGAGTGAGCCTGGGATGATGGAGCTGAGGACGGGAGGCAGGGAGAAGGAATGAGGCCGGGTTAGAGCTGAGGATGGGAGGCAGGGAGTTGGAGTGAAGCTGGGATGGTGGAGCTAAGGACCACCTGACTTTAGGCACCTTCCCTGCAGTGCCCCCTACCCTCACTGCTGTGGTTTGAATGATGTGTGTCCCCTCAAAATTCGTGTTGAAACTTAACCCCCAATGCAACAGTGTTAAGAAGTGGGACCTTTAGGAGGTGATCAGGTCCTCATGAATGGATTAGTGCCTTACGGAGGGGCTTGAGTGGGGCACTTCCACCCCTTCCATCTCGTCTGCCACGTGGGGACACAGCAGTTCTCCCCTCTGGAGGATGCAGCAATAAGGCTGCAGAGAGCAGCCCTCACCAGACACCAGACCTACCCTGATCTTGGACTTCCTACCTCCAGAACTGTGAAAAATAAAGTTCTATTTTTTAATAATCTATCTAGTCTGCAATATTTTGTTACAACAACACAGATGGACTAAGACACATCCCAACAGCCACATTCATGGCACGGCTGCCATATTGGCACAGACTCCTCCCCCAGTCTCTCTGATTGGCTCAGAGGTGGGCACATGGTCCATGCTGGGCCATTCAGAGCCCTTCTGTGCACATACTTCCGGTCCTCCCTGCAGATCATGATCCGGTTCTCTACTGTGCTCTGTGCTCTGCGCTCTGCACCCTGCGCTGCGCTGGCCTGATTGAGCTGCATCAGCCCACCCCCTGCCCTGGCTTCCTTTTGGGTTTGCCTGGTGGGAATCTCAGCAGGGGATCAGAGGGGCAGAGAGTACTGCCAGGGCAGGGGACTCACTCCTGGCTTCATCCCAGCTAGTTTCCTTTTGCTGGCTACAACCCCATGAGGGTCACGGCTCCCCAAGGCAGCCTCTCCATGTAGGGGTTCAGGGCCAGGCTCTCTGCTCTCGGTCCTCTAGGTGAGGGGGGCTAACAGCCTCACCGTTGCTGGCCTCAAGAAATGATGCTGTTCCCTGTGGTTTCCTTGCCCCCTGCCCACACTTTTGTAGATAGTCTCTTTACCAAATCCTCCTGGGATAAACCTGACTCAACTGTGCCAACTGGTTTCTGCCAGAACCATGGTCTCCCCCTTGGAATTGGAAGCAAAGCTGAGAAAGAAAAGTCATGTTTTGCATGAGTGGTGGAACTAAAGACATGTCTACTGTGTGGCATAGGTGGGCTGTGGGTGAAGCGGATGAAGGCGATACAGAGCGAGGACGTGGCCTCAAACCAAGAGCAGCATTCTCCCTTCCCTGCTTCCATCCGTTTCTGGTCTGCGTGCCAGCCCTGGTATGTAAGCCTGTCCCAGAATCCCCTGTGTAAATTCACTTTTCTGTGAAATGATCCCAGATCGTTCGGTTATATGCAACCAAAAGTCCTCGCCCATACATCATCATACGGCCTAAAGCGTCAGGCGACTTCGGTATGTTTTTAAAACAAAAACATAAGAATTTTTTTCTTCCTTCTAGCTACCAACTTGCTCACAAACCCAACACTCTATAAAATGTTGATTTCAGGTACTGTTAGAGAAAGGTGGTCGTTAGCAGAACTTAGCAGGGATGACTCAGGCAGAGCACCCTGGGCACTGGAGAAGAAGTATCCTGTGATGGAATCCAGACATTCCAAGAGTTTACAGAGAGAAAAATCGATGACGGGGCTACAGCCGTGCTGTCATGTATCTGAGCCACAGCAATTTTAGCAGAATTTCTAGAGACCATCTAGAAATTATCTCTGCTTATCCTTTCACTCACCTGACCATCTGACATCCATCCTGGGCCACTAGGTCTTGGTGGTGTCTGAACTGGTGCAGCCTTGTTTGGAAGGCATTGATGTTTAGTGTTGGAGCACACAGGAAGGGCAGTGAATGAGAAAACTATAGTCATGCATCACTTAATGATGAGAATATGTTCTGCAAAATGCATTGTTAGGCAATTTCATATTTACACAAACATCATAGAGCGTGCCTGCAGCTCCTCTAGGTGGTATAGCCTATTACACACCTAGGCTGCATGCTGGAGCCTCTTGCTCCTTGCTGCAGACCTGTACAGCGTGTGACTGTACTGAATACTACAGGCAGTTGTGACACAATGCTAAGTATTTGTGTATCTAAACATATCTCAACATAGAAAAGGTGTAGTAAAAATATTATGATCTTATATGGAACTGCCACCATATACATGGTTCTTGTTGCCTCAAACGCCATCTTGCGGCACGGGACTGTACTTCTGTGGGTCAGCTTTACTCTGAAATGTCTGTGTCTTAACCTGTAACTTTCAACCTGGACAGTGAAGAACATAGTACAAAATATCTGTCCTGGCCAAACTTTGTTTTTCAGGTACACAGAGGCCATTGAGAATGTTGAATAATAACTGAAGTTGTGCTTCCTGTGGAGATGGTACTAAGAAATGCTGTATTCCAGTGTTTCCAACACTGATATTTGTGTATCGTTGCAAGGGGGTCCTGGACCCTACGCCAAGGACCCTGATTTGATCAGTTTCTTCATGTGAGGGCTGACTGTGGGGCCACACATTGTGATGGATCAGGAATATATATATTTTTTTCTTTTTTTCGGGATGGAGTTTCACTCTTGTCGTTCAGGCTGGAGTGCAGTGGTGCCATCTCGACTCACTGCAACCTCCGCCTCCCGGGTTCAAGCGATTCTCCTGCCTCAGTCCCCAGACACATTTGCCAAGCCACCTGTTTGCTTGTGAGCACCAGGAGCAAGAGAGGAGCAGAAATACCCCAAAGTTCTGCTATGGCTTCATCCCTCTGCTTTATTTAAATGTAGTGGGGTTCGGCACGGCTGTTAAACACGAGGTGATTTTAGAAGTAATGCAACATCCACTTGTTCCTCCAAATGAGAGCTATGATCCTGCTCACCCACTGTCTGTATTTCAGCTGCCCAGGTGTCAGCTTATCATCTCTTTCCACAGCCTTTTCATCATTCTCAGTGAATTCCAACATCTCCTTTTTACCACGATTCACTGAAATCACAAGGCTCATGCTAGTTCTCAGTGTCAACTCCTCCATCTTCTACAGAAGTGCACCTTTCTTCCATTCTTCTTATGCAAACGTAACATTCTGTTCCAGTTCATTTTTCTAACAGTAACATTTGTTTAATTCACAAATTAATTCTTGTAGACATGGCTGTTGGATGACCCCGATTGGAAGTGACTTGTCTTGCTTTATGTCCTAAGACCATCTTTTTGGCCTCTATCCATCTGAAGGCAGCTGCATCAGGCCTCTCCTTTCATATTCCGAATGGGAAGCTGCGGCCCCACTCTCTCCAGGCTGTCTGCGTCGCCTGCTCCCTGTCTGCTAGCGCATTGGAGAGGGCAGCCAGGCCCAGGGCAGCTGTGACTGCAGCCGTCTTGCCCTCCCGTCTGTTTCAGCAGAGCCCATGCTGGCTTGGAACACAGGACAGACAGCTTCTCCTGGACCCTGGATCCTGCCCCTGACCTTGGGATGTCACCGTCAGCAAATCCCCAAAGGCTCCGACTGACGACTCCTATTAGGATTCCATCTGCTCATGCTTTAATGTTTTTGACCTGGGAGGAGAGACGAAGGCTTGTTTTTCCTGTGTTGGGACGTCAGTGGGGGACTGGCCCCAGCCCAAGCCTGTGTTCTCCATTGCTATTATTTGCAAGTTAATATGATGATTTGAGCCAAAATAAACTCAAGACAGGCTGCAGAAATTGCTACAAGTTATCTAAGCAAGTGGGTGAGGTGCATCTGATCAAACCCTTACTGAGAAGGGCGGGTGCCCAAATCCTGCCATTTCCCACTCCTGCTTGGGGAAGGAGCCCTTATGGGTCACTGTGGGGACGGAGTGGGACGGGGGGATTTCTGCCAGTTGCTGCTAATGGTGCGAGAGGTAGGGGCTCTGATTGTCCTGCCAGAGTTCACTGGAGAAAACTATACTTTCAGTGTTTGAGGGGCAGGATTCTGACCCTAAGGAAGGTGAGACAAGTCAGGAGTCAGGGTTGGGATCCTTCCAGCAGGCGTTCAGGGCCAGGCACACATGTCCAGTGGGAGGCCAGTTCAGACATTAGTGAGATTCCATCCATTCAATGGGGTGGGTGAATGGGCTCACCTTTAAATGGGTGTCCTGTGAAGCCAGGATCATCCGGCCTTTGGGTGAGATGGAGCTGGGTATGTTTTGCTCTTTGCTTGGGCTATCAGAATTCCAGAGCCAAATTCCAGCCAATGCTTAGCACCTGATGGGTTTTATTGTTTGCTACCCAGGCTAATCTCATGTTTCTACAGTTACTTTCCATTCTCTGTTTCATTGTAGGAATCTCGATAAGCTTTAAAAATATTTTTCTGGCATAAGCTATTTTCCCATTTATGTGTTGCTGTGCTCATTAGGCTAACTCTTTTTTTTTTTTTTTTTTTTTTGAGTCAGAGTTTCACTCTTGTTGCCCAGGCTGGAGTGCAGTGGCGCGACGTTGGCTCACTGCAACCTCCGCCTTCCGGGTTCAAGCAATTATTCTGCCTCAGCCTCTTGAGTAGCTGGGATTACAGGCATGCGTCACCACACCCAGCTAATTTTGTATTTTTAGTAGAGATGGGGTTTCACCATGTTGGTAATGCTGGTCTCGAACTCCTGATCTTAGGTGATCTGCCCGCCTCAGCCTCCTGAAGTGCTGGGATTACAGGCGTGAGGGCTCTTTTTGTATGTTTTGTTTATGTGTCCAACTCAATGGTTCTTAACACATTCAGAAATAAATGTAACTGTCTTCGTCTTTTTGTGCTGCTGTAACAAAATGCCACAGGCTGGATAATGTACAATGGACAGAAATTTACCGGTTCACAGTTCTGGAGGCTGGAAAGTTCAGTTTCAAGGTGCTATCAGCCTTGATGTTTGGTGAGGGCCCCATTCTGTATTTCCAGGATGGTGCATTGAACACTGCATCTTCCAGAGGAGAGAAACACTGTTCCTCACATGGCAGAAGAGTGAAAGAGCCAGGAGAGAGCTCACTCCTGAAATACCTTTTATTAAGGCAGTAAACTCACCCATAAGGGGACATGCTTATGGCCTAATCACCTCTTAAAGGCCCCACCGCCCAAACCATTACATTGGCAGTTAACTTTCAACATGAATTGTGGAGCAAACATTCAAAGCATAGCAGCAACCATCACCCATTTCTAGAAAATTTTATCCACTCAAAAAGAAATCCTATGCCCTTTAGTTATCAACCTCACTATTTTCCCCTTCCCCTCCCCTCACCTAAGCAACTGCTAATCTACTCATGGATATTTCTTTGGGAGTGGATTTTTTTCACTTAGCATGATGTTATCAAGGTTCATCCGTGTCGTGTTAGTAGTTCTTTCCTTTCCATGGCCAAACAGCACTCCATTATATGGGTAGATCACATTTTGTTCATCCATTTATTGGCTGAGAGGCATGGCTTTTTCCACCTTTGGCTGTTATAAATAATGCTGCTATGAACATTAATATATGAGTTTCTGCATGGACGTGTTCTCATTTCTCTGAGTATTTACCTAGGAGTGAAATTTCTGTATCATATGGTAATTCTCTGTTTAAGTGTTTGAGGAAGTGCCATGCTATATTCTAAAGTGGCAGCACCTTGGTCCGTTTCCACCAGCAATCGTAAAGTTTCCAGTCTCTTTACATCCTTGCCAACTCTTGCCATCCTTTATACATCCTTTTAATTTCTGTCAGATCAGTAGTAATATGTCTGCTTTATATTTCTGATTATAGCAGTTTGAGTCTCTCTCTCTTTTTTTTTTTTTTTTTTGGTCAGTCCAGCTAAAAGTTTGTAATTTTTGTTAATCTTTGCAAGGAAACTGGTTTTGGTTTCATTGATCTTTTTTTTCTATTATTTTTTAATTTTGTATTTCACTAAATCCCAGTCTAGTCTGTATTATTTCCTTCCCATTGCTTCCATAGGTTTTTGTATGTACTTTTTCCAGTGCCTTAAGATGTTAGAAAAATTCGAGCTATTACTACTTTTTAAATATAGTCAGTTATAAATTTCTTTCTAAGTACTGTTTTAACTGTTTGAACCCCATCAGTTTTGATATGTTGTGTCTTCATTTTCATTTATCTCAAAGTATTTTTATAATTTACCTTTTGATTTATCCTTTTACTCTTTAGTTGTTTAAAAGCGTTTTGTTTAATTAATACGTATTTGCAAGTTTCACAAGTTTTCTTTACATTCTTGACTTCATTTCCATCAGGATCACAGAATATACTATTATTTCCATGCTTTAAAATTCATTGAGATTTGTTTATGGCCTAACATATACTCTCTCCTAAAAAATGTTCCACGTGCGCACAGGAAGAATGTATACTGTTGTTGGGTGTAGTGTTATATTGAAGTCTGCTAGATCTAGTTGGTTTATTGTGCCACTGAAATCTATTTCCTTGTTTATCTTCTACCTAGCTGTTGTATCTATTGTTGGAAATGGGGATAAAATATCCAACTATTATTGTTGAATTGTCTAATTTGCCCTTCATTCATGTCAGTTTTTGCTTTGTGTATTTTAGTGGTATAGTGTTAGGTGCATATATGTGTATAATTGTTCTATCTTCTTAATGGATTGAGCCTTTTATTGTTACTGTTTATGCCTAGAAACACTATTGTTTTAAAATCTATTTTGTCTGATATTAGTATAGCCACTCTAACTTTCTTGTGGTGCTGTTTGCATAATATATGTTTTTTCATCCTTTTACTTTCTTTTCTTTTTTTTGTATTATACTTTAAGTTCATGTGCACAACATGCAGGTTTGTTACATATGTATACATGTGCCATGTTGGTGTGCTGCACCCATCAACTCGTCAGCACCCATCAACTCATCATTTACATCAGGTATAACTCCCAATGCCATCCCTCCCCCTTCCCCGCTCCCCACAATAGGCCCCGGTGTGTGATGTTCCCCTTCCCGTGTCCAGGTGATCTCGTTGTTCAATTCCCACCTATAAGTGAGAACATGCAGTGTTTGGTTTTCTGTTCTTGTGACAGTTTGCTGAGAATGATGGTTTCCAGCTGCATCCATGTCCCTACAAAGGACACGAACTCATCCTTTTTTTATGGCTGCATATTATTCCATGGTGTATATGTGCCACATTTTCTTAATCCAGTCTGTCACTGATGGACATTTGGGTTGATTCCAAGTCTTTGCTATTGTGAATAGTGCCGCAATAAATATACGTGTGCATGTGTCTTTATAGCAGCATGATTTATAATCCTTTGGGTATATACCCAGTATTGGGATGGCTGGGTCATATGGTATTTCTAGTTCTAGATCCTTGAGGAATCGCCATACTGTATTCCTCAATGGTTGAACTAGTTTACAATTCCACCAACAGTGTAAAAGTTTTCCTATTTCTCCACATCTTCTCCAGCACCTGTTGTTTCTTGACTTTTTAATGATTGCCATTCTAACTGGTGTGAGATGGTATCTCATTGTGGTTTTGATTTTCATTTCTCTGATGGCCAGTGATGACGAGCATTTTTTCATGTGTCTGTTGGCTGTATGAATGTCTTCTTTTGAGAAATGTCTGTTCATATCCTTTGCCCACTTTTTGATGGGGTTGGTTGTTTTTTTCTTGTACATTTGTACAAGGTTCTGGATATTAGCCCTTTGTCAGATGAGTAGATTGCAAAAATTTTCTCCCATTCTGTAGGTTGCCTGTTCACTCTGATGGTAGTTTCTTTTGCTGTGCAGAAGCTCTTTAGTTTAATTAGATCCCATTTGTCAATTTTGGCTTTTGTTGCCATTGCTTTTGGTGTTTTAGACATGAAGTCCTTGCCCATGCCTATGTCCTGAATGGTATTACCTAGGTTTTCTTCTAGGGTTTTTATGGTATTAGGTCTAACATTTAAGTCTCTAATCCATCTTGAATTAATTTTCATATAAGGAGTAAGGAGAGGATCCAGTTTCAGCTTTTTACTTATGGCTAGCCAATTTTCCCAGCAACATTTATTAAACAGGGAATCCTTTCCCCATTTCTTGTTTTTCTCAGGTTTGTCAAAAATCAGATGGCTATAGATGGGTGGTATTATTTCTGAGGGCTCAGTTCTGTTCCATTGGTCTATATCTCTGTTTTGGTACCAGTACCATGCTGTTTTGGTTACTGTAGCCTTGTAGTATAGTTTGAAGTCAGGTAGCATGATGCCTCCAGCTTTGTTCTTTTGACTTAGGATTTTCTTGGCAATGCGGGCTTTTTTTTGGTTCCATATGAACTTTAAAGCAGTTTTTTCCAGTTCTGTGAAGAAAGTCATTGGTAGCTTGATGGGGTTGGCATTGAATCTATAAATTACCTTGGGCAGTATGGCCATTTTCACAATATTGATTCTTCCTATCCATGAGCATGGTATGTTCTTCCATTTGTTTGTGTCCTCTTTTATTTCACTGAGCAGTGGTTTGTAGTTCTCCTTGAAGAGGTCCTTTACATCCCTTGTAAGTTGGATTCCTAGGTATTTTATTCTCTTTGAAGCTATTGTGAATGGGAGTTCATTCCTGATTTGGCTCTCTGTTTGTCTGTTACTGGTGTGTAAGAATGCTTGTGATTTTTGCACATTACTTTTGTATCCTGAGACTTTGCTGAAGTTGCTTATCAGCTTAAGGAGATTTTGGGCTGAGACGATGGGGTTTTCTAAATATACCATCATGTCATCTGCAAACAGGGACAATTTGACTTCTTCTTTTCCTAATTGAAT